CCCCAAAACCCCAAAACCCCAAAACCCCAAAACCCCTAAATTGCTGAAAAAATTGAAAACAGCTAGAATTTTTAAGTAACTATAAAATCCTTATCTGGTACATCCTAACCAAAAAGTCTCCTTATTTCCCTGACTAGCACTATACCCTGTCTCCCTTGAGCATACAGTGGAACATCCACTTGTAGTTCACCACTACAAGTTGCTGGCCTAGCTGAAGGGATTTCGGAAGCTGACTCTCTGTGAAATTAGGCGAGACAAACAAGTAACAAACTGGCTTGGAAGTAGGCTTTTTGGATTTTTTGGGAGATTTTGAGGGGCTCTGAGGGCAGGATTTTAGGTAAGAGTTGAGTGTACGGTGGAGGATGGCACCCATTTTGGTCAGAGAGGGTTTTAAGGAGAGATTTGAAAGAGAGGGGTCGGATTTGAGGGAGTAATCAAGGATTATGTGGACGTTTTGGAAGAGATCTGAGTAGGGGAATACGTTCCAACCATTTTTGATGATGTAAGGATCTGGGTTTAGTGGTGCTGACTTGCATTCGAGTGAGGAAGTGACCCAATCGTAATTTATCAGTGGGATACCGTTTAGTAAAGCCTGTATTACTTTATGAGTGATCTTCAGTTCTCCATCTATTTTTCACAAGAGCTTGGCTTCTTTGGTACTAGGTTCTACTTTAGAGGTAATTCTGAAGCCAAATTGGAGTCCAAATATGTCTAGGATATCTTTTTCATCATCACTAAGGCCTGTTGCTCATATACTTGGTCCTTTCTTACTTCTTGGAATGCTCTAAAAATAATGAGTACAATTTTTACTGTCTTCTTTCTTTTGTTTTTCTTAGCTTTGAATCTTTTGATAGTAGCTTCTGTATTGAGTTGGGCTCTACTTCTCGAAGAATGCTCTCGTATCTTTCTCTTTCCATTGAGATATTTCTGTCCATTGTCAAATGGATTATTTTCCTTTGGAATAGCCTTCTTTTCTTCCTTAGAGGTGGAGATATCTTGATATCTTCTTCTACGAGAGATAGGTGTCTGAAGTTTAGAATCTTCTAGAACTTTGGTCTCTTCTATTTCCTCTTTGACTTTTTGTTCTTCGTTTTCTCTGAGTTTACGCTTAGCTAGAGAGTCTTTAATTGCCTGGCGGTCTCGAAGTACGAACTTATTTCACTGGCGTATATTGTGTGCACAGGTTATTCTCAATTTTTAGTTGTTTAATAGTCTTGCATGCCTTTGAGAAAATGCTAATCGTTTGGAGTTCTCTTTTGTTTAAGGGTCTTCTTCAATTTGGGCACATTGACTTCATTTTCTTAAATTAAAATCATTTTCTTAAATACATTCATTGCAAAATACATGATCTCAAGGAGTTACTACAGGGTCTTCGAAAATTTCTTGGCAGATAGGACACCTTAAATCAGTATTTAGTTGCTGATAAAGGTTAGCTCCAGCAATTCCGGAGGCTTCTCTTTGTGGAGACTCTTTTTTAAAGATTGAGGGGGAAATAAATCCGCTCTTTTTCTTCATTTAATAATTTCAGTTTATAGTTTAAAAATTGGGGTTTTGGGGTTTTGGGGTTTTGGGGTTTTGGGG